GAATAAACTAAATTTAGCTGACAATAGCATGCATATATGACTGGCATTCAATTCACGTAAGATCATCACATTCATATACCTGTTTCACTCTGAGTGTTACCGAACTTTGTACAATCTTACCGAACTTCATACAATCTTACCGAACTTCGTACCCTCTTACCAATATTCGTTCAATCTGACATTCTTTTAGGATGGATATTAATGGTGTTAAAAATATGTTAAAGTTTAACCTTTTACCTTATATAGACGTGTTTTGACGGCTTTTTGTCCCCCCCCCCTTTTGAGGCCTCAAAATATGGCCTCAGTTCGATCTTAGGGTAACTAGTAACCGACACTGACAAGCCTTTTACTCTATCTCAATCCATTGAGAAGTTGCAGCACATTGAAATCAGTTTTGATGGAAAAAAACAATGCAAAATAGTGATTTTTTGCAATTTTGAGACGTCCCCGTTGTTATGGTAACAGGAAAATTACAAATGAGCATGCTGTTACAGAGGCTATGGTCCAGTTAACATTTGTGCCAAGTTTCATCAGTATTGAAGCAATTTTCATAGTTTCATAGCAGTTTGAACTTGTAACAGGAGGGTTTTCAATGAAAACAATATGCGCATGGGGTAGAGGTTAAATAACTTGACTTATGCAATATAAACATGTGTTGGTAAGCATTAATTGTAGACTTATATAGTATCATTCTGCTATGGGAAGCTTGAATCGAAGTTTACAGCAAAATATTTTTTATCTAATTTTCAGAAGAAAAAATATAAATCATAATACACTTTGTGCTATTTTATTGCCTGAAATTTGAGACTATACGGTGATATATGTTACATTTTTGGGGAAAATGCCGATAGTGTTATCTTTATAAAATGCAACACTTCTATTCCTGCTTGAACATAAAAGTTTTAATAATGTGGTAAAAAAATCCAGAAATGCCGGTTTTCAAATAATGTCTTAAATTATTTGGTGTCACTTTTATTTATCTGTCTAATATGTCAGCCGATGATTCTTAGATAATCCCTTGCACTACCATAAATAAGAATTATTTTTCTCCCTTTAATATTGGTGGAAGGGATGTTTTGTAAGTATTTTCTCATTTCGAACTAACATGTGTGTCATATTGTAATAAAAGGGAGTTAAATTTGTATTTCATCTTTACATATAAGCATCAAGAGTAATTCCTCTTTTAAATATTTAAACTTTATTATTTGGTATATTTCCTTAAACATTTTTAGGGGCTTTGTTATGTCAATGGGACTACACAATGTTCACAGAAATTTTGATTATGTAAGGGGATAATTTTGATAACAGGTATTGTAAAATTAATATAGAATAAAACTTATATAAAATATATTCCTGCAATTTCTAATATTATGATTCGTGAAAGAAGATGAAATGGCTAGCATTGGCTCTAACGGATAATGGGAAACAAAGATAAAAATGCATGGATAATATTAAGGCAAAACTATCAGGATTCATGATTAAATAAAAGATTGCCTGGCGGTCAACATCAGATATATATACACTCAAACATCTTAATGGAATTTAATTTGATTCGAACTGGTTTTCAATACTCTGTCTTGATGGACTATAATAATGTGTCAGGATGTACCGTGAATCCGTAACATTATATCATATTTTCTTATATGATATTATATTTTATTGTATAATTATATATTTATTGCTCAATATTATGAAACTTACACTTTTATGTCAAATTTCCATCTAGCTGAACGCTTAAAAACTTTTTCTCTTTCATTTAGATTCCAGTTCAGTTATATTACACTTGTGTTATAAAACTCCGTTCTTAAAATTTCAAATATTTTCAGAAATGGTTTTATTTCAGTTCTGTTATAAAGAAATGTTGATCTATGTCGATCAGTCTGTTTCTGTTAAATGAAGTAAAAACAGAATCATATAAGGTTCACAATTTACTTTATTTTAAGATTATTTTTAAAAATCAAGCATGTAAATACGCTGAAAATAGTAAAACATAAAACAATATGACATTAGTCAGTGAACTTCTAGCAATATATAACAGAAATAGGTCTGTTTGTTTGTTTGTTTCATTTTACGCCTTTTCCCAACAGTATTTTAGTCATATAGATGGGTAGTTTCCTAACCATCGGTCCTGAAAAGTGACACCAGTACTAGACTACCTTCCTCCGCGCTAAACTACCAAAGCATCTCCCGGGGATCGAACCCACGCCAGAGAGGTAACTAGATTAGAAGTCATCGACTCTAACCCCTCGACCACGTAGGCGGTTCAACAGAAATAGGTAAAAAGCAAAAGGTATATGTTAAATGAAATAGAAAGGTTTGAGGCTATGTAGATCATATTATTAAACCCACAGGAAATATTTTTAAATCAACTGGCTAAAACTTGGCTCGGTCAGTTATATGTAAAAATAAGATAAAAAAAACAACAACAACAACAAAATGTTCGTAAATCATTAAACACTTTCTCTTTTATTTATGCAAGGTGTCGCAGTAAATGTATGTCATAACTCAAAATAATAGTAATAAATGATACAAAATTATAAAGGACATTGATCGAAAAAAATATTTGTTTAGCTGATGAATATACGTCCAATCTATAAACAATGGCTGTTTGATTGTTTTAAAAAGCATCAATCCAGTTTAGGGCATTGGGCGCCGAAACAGGAAAGATGTTTTTGGCAAACCTCGGGTGTTATAAAGCAACACCAGGGGTGAACACCACTGCAGCTGCTGGAGAGATAAGAGATGTATAGACTCCAATAATTGGGACCAATAAGTCGCCTCTTACGATCACGCTGTGTTAAACGGTGGCTGCAATTCTGATATCTCAACCCAGAAAGGCAACCTGTACGCCACAAGGGGCATGTACAATAGTAATAGAGAATAGAGTTATAAATAAATATAATGGTTATATATAATAGAAATCAATAATTAATATGATCAAGATTACAAATTGTCTCTCATAAATACCTGGCGTCAATCTGGTCATGCGGCGTGGCCGAGTGGTTAACTCGTCAGACTAGTAACCTAAGGATTGATGATCGCACGGGTTCAAACCTTGTCAGGGTCAAACTGTTGTTTCCTGGAGCAAAAAAACTTTACATTCATTGCTTAGTACTTGTTGGTTCCAGGAACGGATTTGATAGTGTTTCAATAACCTTAAAGCTTCTAACACAATCGAATTAAAATAAATTTGTATTTTAAACTAATCTGGTCTTTTGTCAGAACAAAACAATACAGAACAGAATATACATGTATACTTTATTTATTTACGAAATGAGCCATTATGACTTTCATACTAAACATACCCAAAAATAAAAGAAAACATGATAAATATCAAAAAGTGAACGTATCAACATTATAATTCAACATATCAAAGTAATATATATTAAGGCTCATTTGATATAAACTGTCATTAAACGAGTTCAGGAATATGTTCTTAAACGAGCCTCTGGTGAGCTTAATAATGTTTCTCCTAGACAAGTTTCATAAAAGATTATATCAATTGACAATGAAAGTCAGAAGTTTTTTTATTATATGACTTGATATAACAAAAGCAATCCATTTACAATTTTTACAAACGCTTAACATTGTACAAAAGTGACGCTACAATACACAAATGTAATATAAAGAAATACGATTATATTACATGGAAAACAAGGGTAGTCGTGCGATAGATAAAGGTACATATTTACTTAAATAAACTTAAATATATAGAATAAGCATGATATAATTAATACCTGGTCCCGTATTCACTAAGATTTAAGGATCAAGATCAGGTTCAAATTTAAAACACAAATAAACTCCATTGTTTATCTTCAAAGATTGAATATTCAACTTGATAAAATTGGACTTGAAATGGCATGTTTATTGCATTTAAGAATAAATGTATTGTTATTTTTATATGACATGTGCATTTTATGATTGATCCAAACCTATTCCTATTTTCATCCCATTAATTTTTGTATTTGTATTGTTATTTGTCGATTTTATCCCAAAATAGAGTTGTTTCTTTGCAAGTCAGCAATGTTTAACATTTTGTTTATGTACCATTTAATTACATAAGCAAAACATGATCAATATAATTCGGTTTATTATATATAAAACATTGTAAATAAATCATATGATCCTGATCTCAGTCTTTCCAGGTACAATCATAATTACAAGTATATCATGATAATAAATAATTGTAAATCACGTGTCATTCTAATGACCAAATTCGATCCACGTGGATGCATGACAACCCACTTTGAAAACAAGATTAAAATCACCAAAAAAGAATATACACGATCAATTCATTGTAGTTAGCAAATACAAGCGGAGCAAAAAGCAAAGATAAAGCTAATAACATTAAAACAAAAACAAAAATTGATTTTGACTAGTAATTGTGTTGACGTAAAAATATCGATGAGATCAGAACAGATTAGACATTTTATTTGAGACTTGTACATAATACATCGTCGTGCGAATAAACATATTTACATATATGGTACAATATAACATGTCACATGATCATGTTAACACATATAAATGTCATTGAAAAAACAAAACAATTTAACAAACAAATAATAAAAATGTTATAATATTCAAAATCTGAAGAACAAGATGAGATCAAGATTATTTTGACAACAATTATCTACATGAGATCAATTTGAAATAAAGGTTATCAAAAACAGGAACTAGATGAATCATACTTAAACAAGATAAAATTTATATTTAACAGTGATATAATTAGAAATATGAGTATATACTTAAAAATGTTATTCATTTGTACAGATTATTGTAACACTAGCCCGGCACATAAAAGTCGCCATGAACTGAAATAAGATATAACAATAAAACAAAAGACATAAAAGAGAAATGGAAATTCTTTGTCATTGATGAATGATTAAAAATCCAATATTGTTATCAATAATCCAATATTGAAAAGCAAATCCAAAAGAATGAGTTGACAATTGTACTTGCGACTTTAAAGTTATACCATGCATGCTCTGCCTTGTGTAAAATACTTTTAGTGCAGTAATTTGTTAAAATCTAGTAAATTCTTCCTGGATATATCTAATTTAAATAAGTGAATGTATTAACTATGTTTCGGAAGTTTGGAAGTAAGTTTGTATTACTTGTCAAATTAATTTGGTCTATTTAATGACACTATGTAAGCATATTGTGATTATCTGTAGTGTGTAGAGTTTAAAACGAACATATTTTCTCTACTTTTTTTTCAAAGGGGATGTTTTGCATTTCAAAAGAGACTGTATTGTAATTATCGTTTTTTTTCCGAATATCAAATTTGACCATAATATGTCCTCAAAGGTGTAAACCCTAGCGAAACCTATCCAGCTATTTGCTTCTTTAACAACATCAGTTCATCGGAGGATTTATTCACCATGTTTATCAATGAGTCAATCTTTTTCATCAACTCGTTCTGGTTACGTTCTATAATTCCCACAGACGAGCCGATTTTCTGTAGATCAGACATTTCCTTCTTTAGCTCATCTAATTCCATCTCAAAAGGCTGTCTGAGTGATGTCATCGAAAAAGCCATGTTTGTCGTACCACCATCTTCTTCTTTGTCTTCATTTGCTTCAGCTCTAATTCGTGTTGATTTTGGCTCGTGGGTAATCGCGTTGCAACATGCAGACCCTATGCGATTGTGTAAATTACATTTTCCTCGTGTTCCATTCATGAACTTCCGTTTGAGGCGTTTGCCAATTGGTGGATTCTCCACTGGCGTTTCGTCAACTGTAAAAGTTAATAAATATCTCTTGTGAAATTGCTTACAACTTTTTACATATATCATTGAAAAACGATACACAGTGGATTCATTTTGTTGTCTTACAAGATGTGTGCCTTTCATTTAATAGAAAATGTATCGTAATAATACCTGTGACTTCATTTGTAATACAAACATGTAAATATATTTTTTTAGGAAATTGGAGAAATTGACAGACAATTGCCAAAAAAAGTACCACTATTGATTTATTACTAGTAAATATTAAGAAATATTTACCGTCTGCTCTAATATGTTCGTGGTGCTCGATCATCTTAAACACACCTGCTATTTCCGACATCCCCGCCTTGTTAAGAACATCTGCGAATTCGGTATACCAGTTTGGAATCCTCTTGTCTACCTTCTCAAGCATTACCCGGACGGCTTGGATTGGTCCATGGTTTTTATCCGCGCTTTCTATTTGACCTTGGTCCTCCACATTTATGATCTCTTTCTCCAAGAGTAGATCGATAACCTCATTCAGGTGTATGTTATTGATAAGGCTCGGTTTCATAACTTTAAGAATCTGTGCAGTGAAGTGGTGATCCTTTTCTGTTTGTCCAGTCAACAACTGGTACAAGTAAATGTTACCTGAAATATAGTCATAAGTCAGTGGTTATTCTTTCATTTTGAGAAAATACATGTACATCTTAGTACTTTTTTCTTTAAAAATATTAACACTCGCTTCCTAAAATAACACCGAGTATCTCACATAAAGAAATAATAAACAATGACCGAAGTCTACACCTTGACGCAAACCTAATGTATCTGATTGGTCAGAAACTAGAATAAACTGTACAGTTAACAATGATACCCTGATAATCGAGAAATAGTTTAGATTAAGGATCTGCGGATGTTTGTTTGTACAAGGGGGCGTGGACGGTAACTTTCATTTCCCAGTACCGTTCACAAAAAGGCACAATCAAATCGAGATTGCAACATTTTCGATTTTTCTGATTTTGGGCGTTCTTTAAAAATTTCATTTTTCTCTATTATATCATTATAATCTCGATACCACTTATAAATTTACCTATCTCTTCCAAAGCCCCGAGAAACATCAACCACTTTCCTCCATCAACATGGTCTACATTATTCTCTATGGTGTCTATCAACTTCTCAACTGCTAGCTCATGTGGCTCTGTGGTTGATATTGTTCTTGCATCACTTTCATCTGAAAATGTTACATGAAAACTGATTTCATTTAGTATATCTTTAGTGTTTGATAACTCTATATCAAACATTATTATTTTCAGCTTTATGTTAACCTTTACTGTTTCAAGGTTAACCAACATTGAAGAATTCTACATGCCTCATAAAGAATGGGTTATTTTAGCTTAACATAATGATGTGTACAATTTGAATAAATGTTAATCGTCTAATGTTACGTAATGTACATGTACATGTATGTTGTAAAACCTTTTTGTGTTTTATCAGTGTTTGAATTGTTTCATTGCTACATACTACTTGTATATAGGTAGTTTAAATCATGAAAAACTATACATGATATTGGAAATGTTTAATAAAAAAGCTACATCGGAGCGAAACGTTCATTTAAAGAGTTAAACACATTTGAATATAGTTTTGATGCCATCATTCTTGGCCACTGTATTGTTCAATATCGGATATAATGTTAAAAAAAATTTCTATTACAGAGGATATATTTAAACCAAAATCACTGGATATATATACCTATATAGGTAAGATATGGAAGTATCTCTTTCACATTAAGATGCCTTTGAAGTTTCGGCAGGAACACGTGTATCATGTATTCTGTATTCTTCGCCTTACAAAGGTGACAATCATCGACGGATGTGTCGGTGTTGTAGTGTATGTCTAGTGCAGAATCTGGTGTATGAATTGTCCTCCTGTCAAACACACTTTCCTGTGGAGAAAATGTTGTAATATAAGTTATAAAATATTTTTGAAATGTTATATAGTCCTATATAAACGATTGTTTGAAATATAAGTCGAGTCGCCAGACAACAGTTTCTATACGGTCATATAACCTGTCAGGAATATTCATTACGAATTTATAATACAGTAAGCATTATAATTTTACAGATTTCTTCATAAATTGACAGCAGCAGTGTTTATAAATCAATTATCCAATGGAAAGCGACGTCACAAACGTATAGGCGTTTTATAAAATTTAATATCAAACATTGTACATATATTTTATCTGTCGTGGTCACGTGATCATTAGACTTCTGTCATTACAGTATACAATATTGACGTATTTAGATAGTTGTGCTTACCACTTGGGAAACCGGAGTAGTGATTTGATCATAAAAATAGATTGAGAAAAATATTTTAATATAGATATTATTCAGGGTATTTACCCCACATACCATTGTAAAGCTTATATCACTTTTATCTAACCCAAATAGGGTGGTTTAACTGGTCCGGTAAAGTTTAATATTTAGACTAGTCTAAACAACTAACAACTTTGTATAAAAGGAATAAAGGTATGAACTTAAACAAACTAGTCTTTCTACTAGATAGTTGATATACAGAATTGTTATTGTACAAATGTTCAAACTTTATATTGTTTGTTTTAAGACTTGAGAAATTGAGAGGTGTCTTGGTGACTAAGAAGTTATTTATTATACATACGTAATACAAATATAACATAAAATAGAGTGAAAAAAAATGAAATCTATATTTCCAGAGGTAGATACCATGTCCTGTTTTCTTGTATAATTACATCATTTTTCTACTCTATTACCAAAGCATAGGACATAAAAATGCAAGTGTTCTTACTAGTTCATTGCCCGAAGTATCTATGGAAACAAAACTGCCCTGTCAAGAGAAAAACAATAGTATGATATGTTGCTTTTAATCGCTTTTAGTATTCGCTCTTTCATCAAAACAAAATTGTTGTAATTAGTATATTCATCATTTGTTTTAAAAAAGAAATAGAATAATTTCGATGCATTTTTACCATACAGTCATATTCTACTCTAAAACTGTAATTGCTCAAACAATGTTAAAGGTTTCCAAACATTTGGCTGTCTGGAGAAAAATGCACTTCCTTTTCCACCAGTTGTCCTAACATTTTTCTAAGGTCACTCAGGCTTACAGTTGACCAAAGACTTATATTACAATCATATTTAAATATAGCTCTGTGAATTGGCTATTCAGACGTTGAGTTATTCTTTTATTACATACACTGTTACAATGCAAATAAGGAAATTTTCTCTTTGAGAACTTGACAATGAAAATAAAACTGTTACAATGCAAATAAGGAAATTTTCTCTTTGAGAACTTGACAACGAAAATAAAACTTGCACTTGAAGGCTTTTAAACATAAACATAACTTGTGAGGAAATCTAACAGTCAATGTAGGAAAGTCTACCTCGTCTTCCCATTCAGACATGTCTGAAGGCATGCCGGTATATCCATGAGCTCCGTCTATGTATACTTCCAGATTTCCATCTAGTGTTGTCTCTAATGATACACTCCTTTGCTGATAAAGAAATAAATTAATCAAGTAACAATATAAGTTTTTTTTAAATAGTGTATTAATAGTGTATTAAAACTAACTGTCCGCTGCTTTTCAATATTTCATTATTATTATTATTATTATTATTATTATTATTATTATTATTATTATTATTATTATTACAATGATACATGTATATATGAATTCCGACAAAATAATTTTCAATATTTAATAATTGACATGTACGAGTATTGTATCATTCAACATATTTTTATGCCCCCGACATGTAATGACCGGGGCATATAGTGTTACCCTCTTCCGTCCTTCCGTCATTCTGTCATTCCGTCATCATCAGTTTCCGTTCATTATCTTAGTAACGGTTGCACACATTCAACTCAAATTTGACATATGGATATGTCATGATAAAATACAGGTCAAGTTTGAATTTGGTCATGGTTCGATGATTTTTGGCAGAGTTATGCCCCTTTTACTTTGAAAATAATATGAAATTTTCAGTTTCCGTTCATTATCTCCCCAACGGTACAACACATTCACCTCAAACTTGACATATGGATATGTCATGATAAAATACAGGTCAAGTTCGAATTTGGTCATGGTTTGATGATTTTTGGCAGAGTTATGCCCCTTTTACTTTTAAAATAATATGAAATTTTCAGTTTCCGTTCATTATCTCCCCACCGGTACAACACATTCAATTCAAATTTGACATATGTATATGTCATGATAAAATACAGGTCAAGTTCCAATTTGGTCATGGTTCGATGATTTTTGGCCGAGTTATGCCTCTTTCACTTTGTAAATAATATGAAATTTTCAGTTTCCGTTCATTATCTCCCCAACGGTACAACATATTCAACTCAAACTTCACATATGGATATGTCAAAGGAATGCGCAGGTCAAGTTCAAATTTGGTCATGGTTCAATGATTTTTGGCAGAGTTGTGCACCCTGAAATTTTCAGTTTCTGTTTATTTTGTACAACACATTCAACTCAAATTTGACATATGGATATGTTTTTGGAATGCCCAGGCCAAGTTCTAATTTGGTCATGGTTCAATGATTTTTGGCAGAGTAAAGCCCCTTTCACTTTGAAAAAAATATGAAATTTACAGTTTCTGTTCATTATCTACCCAACAGTGTTACATATTCAACTCAAATTTGACATATGGATATGTCAAAAGAATAGGCAGGTCAAGTTGGAATTTGGTCATGGTTCGATGATTTCTTTGGCAGAGTTATGTCCCTTTCACATTGAAAATAATATAGATACATCTTAGGAATAAGCAGTTTAAGTTTGAATTTGGTCGTGGTTCAATGATTTTGGACAAACTTATCTTTCTTGAATGTTGGAAAAATTTTGAATTTTCAGTTTCAGCACTCATACTTTTGTGGAAATGTATGTAGCCATTATTTTGGCTACAAATATGAAATATGCTATTTTCAAAAGGTTAAGACTGAATAATTTCAGTGCCTGTTGAACATTGTATGGAAATGGTTTGTGTTAACACTGAAAAGATTTAAGGGCTTTGAACTTAAAATGAAAAAAATAATTTGTGCAAACAAATTTGGAACTAAATATTACAACATCTGAAATTTTGGCTGCATGCGGGGGCATCCGTGGCATGATGACACATTTCTAGTTATCGATTAATATTTTAAAATATGTTCAATATAAATTACTTACAGCATTTTTATCGGTACCCTTCTTTAATTTATAGCCATCATGTAAAAATGGAACAGCGGAGTCAACCTGGTCATGCTGTTAAGAACATGTACATATATTAATAGGAGGACGTGTTTTTTAAAGGTGCATGCCTCCAGATAAGCCAAAATATTTCAATAAAATAAAACCTGAGAAAAATGTACTAAGATTTTAGGAACTTAAGGTTTAAGTAATAATTTACATGTTTTTTTGCGATTAATGATTGATTTTTCTGTATTAATAATCATATTTCTATTGTGTTTCTAACGAAGTAAAGGCTGTTTTCGAATATTTTTACCTCATTTTGTTAATAAACGTGGGTTTGTATGTGTAAATTGTTTCCAGTTGGTTACTTTACAATATTTGACTTTTAGATACATTTTTAAATTTTCATGAAAATTAGCATAAATGTGTGCTCCTTTAAAGTAAAATTAATATATATACAACATGTTTATACATGTGCATATCACTAATATATAAAGTCGGTATGAAGGGATAGACAATGTCACTTTTATTGTAAATTTATTCAAATGATAGAGTTTTTCTTTATATCATTATTATAGTGACGAATAAACACAAAAGTTTATAATAATTATTTACTCATGTTTAAAATTAAACACACATACAGGATTATGTAATGCCATTGGAAAATAAAGTGGTCAAAATGTTGTATCAAATATTTAAAATATAGTACTGTCACTTGGTCTCTATGTTAGTCAAGGAAGTGAAACATTTATGCTTAACTTATAATCTAAAAGGACGAGTGATATATATGATAGTATTTTATCATGGTCAAAGTAATGAAAAGTGTCTCAAAAAAAATGTTCAGATTGTTTTTTTTTTTTTGTTTTTGGTTTTTACATGTAAATGTAATGTAAAATTTAATATGTAGATTGTAATGTGATATGTAAAACTAGACAATATACTATATAAACTCCTATAGATGTAGTTGTTTGAAGGGTTGTTTTATTGTTTGTTTATGATTATATTATATAAATTTATACTAT